AACATATTAAATGCTCCCCATATGTCATAAGCCTTAATATATTATATCATTTTTATCCTCAAAAAAACATGAAAGAGCTACAAATTAGCTCAGTGCTGCTGCTGCCTGCCTCACAAACATACAGTCCCGAGTTCGATTCCCAGTACCAAAAAAAAAGAAAGAAAGAAGTTTAATTAGTTGCTAAAGATAGAGAACTAATAAGCACTGGGTCCTAGCTGGGAAGTACTTGGAGATACTTCCGTCTTAATAACTATGGATTCCCTAGCACCTGGCTTGGAACCCGGCCTAGAGGAGCTCAATGACTATGTGAATAAATAAAGCCAGGATATACACACAAGGCAAGTGATCCCAGGCCCATGCACCTCCCAGTTGCATTAAATGGTACAAAACTCAACATTTTCTGATTGACAACAAAGAAGAGTGAAAGTGAATTTGGCTGCCTAATGGGGAATTCGCTGGATTGAACAAACAGGTGCTGGTTGAATGATCTTTGCTAACCTTTTTGCAGGCATGCAGGAGGAAGAACAAAATGACCTAAAACCACTGAGTTTTTTATTTCAGCATTGGCTACTGCAGAGAGATAGCAGGCATGAAAAACTGTAGCATTATCTTCTATGTAATCAAGGCTCTGATAAATTCTAGGAGAAAGAAAGGAATCTTTTAGGTTATGAGATAAACAAGAACATAGTCAATCTTTTGAGAGAAAGAACAAATGACTGGAAGTGGGGTACTCTAATATTACAGAATATAATTATGATGGGGCCTAAGTCTAGGCAAGTCTGAGTTTTAGAGACTTGGTAAATTATTATATAAACTGATAAATTTGATGAAAACAGTACGGTTACCTGGACATCAACAGTGTATCAAAAACCAACAACCTATGAATTTTACCCATAGTCATTGTTACAAGAGGGAAAAATTAATTCTGAGGCATGGGAGCCTACACAGAGAGAAAACATCTCTCCTATACCTGGAAGAGGGTGACAAAGATGGAGAAAAGAGAAAGAGCATTACAGAAAAAATAAGAAGGTGGGAGAGGAAGAAGCCGGAGGAGAAGGAAGGAGGAAGAAGAGGAAAAGAAAGAGGAAGAAAGGAGAAGATGGAAGAAGGGGAAGAGGAGAAAGAGGAAGAAAGAATGAAGTAAAAGAAGAAAGAGGAGGAGGAAGGAGGAAAAAAGTGAAAGAAAGAGGAGGAGGAGGAAGTAGAGAAAAGAAACACAGACAAAAAGGCACAGTAATGACAGTTCAGGCTGGCTGGACTATGGAAGACATGAGAAAAAGTGGGAAATAAGCAAGGTGTGTTCTGGCCAAGACCTAAATCTGTGGGTAGTCAGGAGGGACAAGAGGAAGAGTGGTGGGCAGTGAGTGGGTCTCTGCCTCATAATGTGACAGCAACTTGAAAGGAGATGGCAGAGGGCTGGTTCCAGGCACAGGAATCCGTTGGGAAGTTAAGGTAACAGTCGAAGCAGATGTTAATCAAGGGGCTACTACAACAACGGCAGTGGGGCTGAAGAGCAATGACAAGGTCGGTGTGCAGATCTAGCCAGGGACTAATTCCGAGGGGAGAGCCCTGGTTTGGCAGAAACCAGGAAGGGTTCAGGTTTGGAGAGCACCGGATCTGACCAGGTGTGGGGTGACTGCACATCTGGCCTGGACACGCTGAAAACGTGGACATGGAGGGGTCCTCAAAGTGCCATGGAGAGGTGTGGGGCCGGTCGGAAACATTCAGGTGGGATTAGGGCAGGGGGTGCCAAGCAGGAGGAAAGCAAGCAAGAGACTGGGGCGGAAAGGAAAGAGGGCAGGTGACCGCATGTCGCCCACATCTGCGGCTGAGAATTTGTTATTGCAGCGCCATCCTGCTCCTGTGAGCGCAGACACAGCCGCGACTTCGGTACCTCAGCGTGTCGGGGTGCGAGGCGTTGCAGCTGAACAGGAAGTCGGCAGCGTCCGCCTCACTGACCGTCCCTCCTTCGGCCACTGTGGAGGCAAAAGCACAGGGTGAGCCTCACAGGTGAGCTGGCAACTGCCCTGCCTCTCGCGGCCCTTCCTACCCCAGAACTGCCTCAGGTCCTGGCCAACGCTGCCACAGAACCACCCGCGCTGCCCTTGAAACATGGCGCCGCCGGGCCCATGAGGACCTAGGGGAACTAGTGACCTGGATCCTAGATCACTGATTGGCCCGTGGTTCTAGGCCGAACTCATTGATTGGTTCACAAAAGCCAAAGGCGGGAAAAGCCTTAGGCTGAAGAGATGAGGTCACTACTGCCCAGAACCGAGGTGCTGGCAATGGCGAAGGTGGAGGAAGAGGTCTCTCACACTGGTGAGTTTGAGTATTTAGTTACTATGCAGTGCTATATAGCCACGAGAGCCAGTCTTGAGGCATCAAATATTATTTTAAATCAAAACTCATTATCATTTCATCTATAAAATTTCACTTTGAATCTCCAAAAGATAAGGACCTTTTTATATATGTTATTTACTACTACTACTACTACTACTACTACTTCTTTTTAGTAGTAGTAGTAGTAGTAGTAATAGCTTTTTGAGACAGGATCTGTTATATACTTCAAACTGGCCTTGTCCTTGCTCTATAGTCCAGGCTAGCCTAGAATTCACAATCCTCCTGCCTCAGCCTCCTGAGTGCTGAAATTACAGGCGTGCACCACCATACATGACTTTGTGCCTTCTTTTTGTTTCCTAGTCTGATCAGAGGTTTGACAATTTTCTCTGTCAGTTTCAACCTATCTACTTTATTGGTCTGAAATCCCCATTCTTCTAGTTTCTTGAAGTAGTTGATTTTTATCCTTTGTTTTTCTAAAATGTGCATATAAGGCTATAAATTTCCTTTTAAATTGTGTGCCACAAGTTGTTGTTGTTGTTTTGTGTTAATGGGAGTTAAACCTAGGACCTCACACATGGTAGGCAGGTGCTCTACCACTTAGCTACAACCCAGTCCCCTACAATTTTTTGAGATGTCATCTTTTTATTACTCAGTTCAGAATATTTTTGGATTTCCAGTATGAGTTTTTTTGACTCATGGGATTTGAAATACTTTTAGATTTGCAAATACATAACAATTTGCTAGTTGTCATATTGATTGGTTCTTTGTTTCAGTGCATTAAGCCAAGAATATAGACTGCTTATAATCTTTTGGAATTTGAGTTTTCTCTATAACTAGCCAGCTTACCATCAGTGTTCTGTGTATGTTTAAAAAGGTTGGGAAGCTGTTGGATTTTCTGAGGTGTTGGATACAGTCTGTACAACTGCTCATTGGGCTTGTCAATCATATGGTTAAACATGTCTGATTCTCCATCAATTACTGAGAAAGCCATGTAGAAATTTTGTACTTTAATTATGGATTTCACAATTTCTTCTTGTATGTCTGTTAATTTTTCTCATATATTTTGAAGTTATATTGTTAAGTATATGTACCCCTTGTTATTACCATCTTGTTGATTGAACCTCTAAGGATTTAAATCTGAAAGGTAAGACTTCAAAACCTGTAGACCATAGGAGAATGTCTTTCTGGTCCAGATGTAAGAAAAGATTTGTTTGTTTGTTTGTTTGGTACCAGGGATTGAACTCGGGACCTTGCACTTGTGAGGCAGGCAGTGGAACCACTGAGCTAAATCCCAGGCCCAAGAAAAGAATTTTTTTTTTTAAAGAAAAGATTTTTTAAAACAAGGCACAAATGTTTATCATGGCAGAAAAGATATGTAAATATGGTTGCATTAGTCTTCTCATAATCAAAGTTATCAAAATTAGAGTGAACACGCAAGTCACATAGTGGGGTAAGATCTCTGCAGTACAAATAACAAGCAAATATCATGCATCTTTTGATTACCATCCAAGGTCTGTTTCCAGCAAAGAAACCACATATTGGTGCTTTTTTCTGTTGAAAATAATTTTAATAGATAATTCTTCACCTTACATAGGATTACAATAAAATACACCACATTCTGAAGAAACTCCAAGTTATGAGAATGAGAGTGAAGAAAATCCAGATGGGCTACAAATCCATTACCTTAAACTGCAAGAGCTAATGATTCCAACCCAAAGGTTAAGGTTTACACATTTATAACTGGCTATATAAGACTTAAAAAAAAGACAAGAATGGAGAATTAGATGTGGAGAGAGGTGGAAAAGAATAGTTTTGTGAGGGAAGAAACTCTTGGGTTTTTTTGTTTGTTTGTTTGTTTATCTTTGCTTTGTTTTGTGGTCCTGAGAATCGAATGCAGGGATTTGTAATTGTCAGGCAGATGCTGCACCACTGAGCTACATTCCCAGCTCAAGAAGAAACTCTTATGAATGAAAAATTTACTAGAACCGAAATAAAGAATAAAAGCTTTCAGAGCATACTAGAAAGAATGGATACAAGACTCATTCGTTGAAAGTCTGGTGCTCTTGAAGAAAGAAATCTTTCTTATGGCACACAGCTGCTTGGGTGAGATTTCTTCTTAGTTCTATAAGGAAAACCTGACAAATCTCCACAAACTCCAAACAATGATCACACTGGTGTTTCCTAATCACACACCAATAGTAACACATGAACTTTTCAGATGAGAACCAAGAAAAAGTTATAACCCACATTTGAAGCAAAAAGAAAAAACAGTGGCACAATATGTGAGAGTCCTAGATGTTAGTCACAGCTGCTTTCTTTGCTGCAACTCTCCTGTACAGTGATCTTCAAACACTGTGGCAAGACACTGACAATCACCTAACCAAATAACAGGAAACATTTATTTCAGATTTCTAGGGAGTTAAAAAAAGGTCAGATACTGATGCTTTATGCATGCTCAGGGCCTGTTTATAAATTCTCCATTCAGTAATACTGTAACACAAATTTGCATCAGTGAAAAGAAATTGGCAAATCCATCTCCTGCCATTCTATTTGCCTGATGGTGAAGACCAAAACAGAATGCTCCATCAGTTTTGATTTTTATATACAATTGTCACATTGGGAAAATGAAACAAACAGTAAAATAAATGATACAAGGGCAAAGTAGAAAAACAAAAGATATTTTACTAAAACATAAGATTTACAGAAGTTTCCAGACAAGACATACAGTTCTCCTGCCTTCGCCTCCCGGAGTGCTAGGATTACAGGCATGCACCATCACTCCTGGCTTCCTTTCTAAAAAATAGTTTTATTGTGGTATAATTCATATCCTGTAAAATTTTCCCATAGTAAGTGCACAGTTCACTAATTTCTAGTATATATCATATGCAACCCATGCAAACATTCATTTTTTAAGAAGTTATTTTCCAACCAGGCGTGGTGGCACACACCTGTAATCCCAGCACTCGGGAGGCTGAGGCAGGAGGATTGCTGTGAATTCGAGGCCAGCCTGGGTCACATAGTGAGTTTAAGCTCAGTCTGACTACTTAGCAAGACCTTCACTCAAAAAACAAAACAAAACAAAAACAAAAACAAAAAAACAGCTATTTTCCAAATTTAGGTTAGAATTTTTTCACCCTACTTATTTTAACTAATCACAATTCTAACTTAATCACAACTTTTACTCAGAATTTTCTTCCAGTACATATTGACCTCCCCTTTCTCTGAATTTTAGAGTCCTTATTGTCTTTCCCCACAGCAGACTTTAGATATCAATTATATGGAAAAGAGGAAGCAAGTAGGTCCTCTTCTGTCCCCCAAACACTTTGTCATGCTACTTGAAATTCTTTGCACTCTACCTAAAAGCCCACCATTAGAAATCTTTACTTATTAAATGTGGAATGTATATAAGCTAATGATATTGTGTCTGTTCAGTTTTCTGAAATTGACTGGTTTTTCTTTTAAATTTTATTTTTGAGACAGAGTCTCATATGTAGCCCAGGGTGGCCTTGAACTGAATTTGGTAATTTAATCATCTAGTTATGTAAGGGAATACCTGGTTCTTAGGAGATACTCGCTGATATATTTAAGAATATGGATTATAATGCTTGTAACTTCATGTAAAGTGGTTCAGCAGGGCCAGGGATTTAGCTCAGTGGTTCCAGTGCCTACCTCACAAGTGCAAGGTACCAAGTTTGATCCCCAATACCAAATAAATAAATAAATAAGGTAGTTCAGCAAAAATAACAAGAGCAATTGTGTATACACAAAACCATAGTGGTGAAGAGGATAGAGACCAAAAAAGTGTAGCATGGTGTTAATAGTTGTTGAGTATAGATGGAAAACAGTGGGCAGTTGCCATACAAATGTAAAACCTTTTTGTAAATCTAAATCTTTTTCTCTCTTTCTCTTTTTCTCTTTAGTACTAAGGATTAAACCGGGTCCTAGGCAAGCACTGTACCACTGAGCTGTATTCCCAACCCTATGTTTTCATTATTTTTTAAATCAAAAAGATTTTATTAAAAAGCCATGTTCCTTTGACTCAGTGGTTTTCTGTCCTGGCCACACATTAGAATCACCCAAGAACTTTTAGAAACTACAGCTGCCTCAGCTCTGCCTGCAGTAGGGTTTTCTAATTGGTCTCAGGTGTCCAGGCATCTGAAGATGAACCTAATACACATCCATGACGTCCTAAGAATAATGCATTCCAGCACTCCCTTATATTTTTGAAGTGGATTTGTAGTCAGATTCTTTTCCTCTACATCGGCCATACCTTAGAAATGAAGTACGGTTTAGTTGAGCTGGGAGTGGTGATACGTGCCTGTACTATTTGAATATAGAAAAGCAAGTGCCTCTCACAGATAGATAAAGCAAGCAAAGGGGACCAAGGAAGGAAGAAAAAGAGTCAGATTTGCTAGACTAAAAAGTATATTGAGAGGGCCGGGGATTTAGCTCAGTTCCGCTGCCTACCTCGCAAGCACAAGGACCCAAGTTCAATCCCCAGTACAAAAAAAAAGTATATTGAGAGAATTCAAAATAAGACATCTAGTTCAGACCATCTCCTAATTTTTTCGTGAAGTCTCTGCAGCACATTTTTTAAAATTACAATGACAAGTTCTAGAAAATAAGGGAGAAGAAATTTTATATCAAAAGGTAATTAAATAGGAAGGAGAGCACTCATAAAGCTGGGTGTGGTGGTGCGCACCTATATCCCAGCGCTCTAGGAAGCTGAGGCAAGGATGAGCCCAACCCAGCATCTCAGTAAGTCTGTGAGACCCATCTGAAAGTAAAACTGTAAAAGGGCTGGGCATATAGCTCAGTATGAAAGCGGAGGGTTCAATCCCCAGTACACACACACACACACACACACACACACACACACACGCACACACACATCCAATTAGAATGATTATCCTGGAAAAATAATGGTGCCATGGTCATTGCTGGGCACGTTTGAAAAGGTTTTCCAAGCATCCCAAATTCAAATTCACTTCAGTAACAAAGGCATGATGGTCATTCTCCTGAGAGGGGCTCCTGTATTACAGAAGACCTCGGAGAAGTAGATGCCACCCGGAAAGGCACCCATGAAACCCACTGAGGACACTGAGAATGAAATTTCATGTAGGAATCCTGTTATTCCGAAGTTCTCCATGCACTGAGACAATAACCCACTGAGGCTGGTTAACTATTTCAATACTTCTTTAATAACACTCTGAACTTACACAGTAGTATAACTAATCACTGTGGGTGTAGGATACGCAGTGGTTCTTTATTCTCCCCGCTATCTTTAAGGCAGGGGCAGAAATAGGGATAAAGTTTTTCCATGAAAGTGCTATTGAAGGTGTAAATGTGGGTCATGCTGTTGGCATTGTAGAAGGACACCTGCCCTCCCTCGTAATCCAGGTAAATGCCCACCTTGGTGAGGTTGTTAGCCAGTGGTAGACTGCAAGAAGGCAAATCCAAAGCCTTTAGGTCAGTTTGGTTCCTTAGCCTTAGGAGCCAGAACCCTCGCTTGGGAGTTAGAGGACAGTTGCCCTTCCGAATGATGGACTCTCTGGCAACTCCAATTGTCCACTTTGTCTTCTTTGCTACCTCCACTTCCCAGTACCACTTTCCAGATGCAAAGCTTTTGGAGCCCAGCACAGCCACACTCGAGTCGAACCTCTCTGGATCATTGGGCATTATCTGCTTAATGTCCCCATGCCACACACTGGTCCGGTCTTTGGACAGCACTAGATTTGGATGAGCTGTTTTAGGGTCCAGGGTTAATGGACATAGGCCTAGTAGGAAAATAAGAGAAAGCAGGGCATGGGAGGAAAGGGAGGTGAGTGCGAATTCCCACAGGAAGAGACAGCATTTACTTAGCCCAGTGCTCTATCTCTACACACACACCCAGTCTTAGACATACTGTAGGGAGTATTTATAGACTTTTTGTTGTTTGGTATCCATGTTCTATTTCCAGACATATTTATATTAAGGGCAAAAATTGGGCTTTAGAGTGAACTAATTTATGTCTACTAAAGGAAACAATACTCATTAGGTAAATCTTTACTAATAAAAATCTGTACTTTTTGTACAAAAAGTACCAAAGGGTAAAAATTAGATAAGGTTGTCCTGAAAAATCTTTCTAAGGAAAATAAGAATTTTGTTGTGACAGAATAAATGCGATGTGTTTAGAATGCTTTGTGGGTAAAGGGGGGATAAGGTAAATACAATTGCTTGTGTGAAGAGACAGGTGAGACTTAGCTAACTGCTAGGATTTAGATGCCAATAGTGAGAAGTTTATGTTTGGTTTAACAGATAATGAGACCTTTGCGATCTGGCGTGGTTCATGCTCAGGATGTGGTCTACAAACTGGTTACTAATGTGGGACAGTTTATTCAGAAATTGAGAGCAAGCTTTGAAGAACTTCCATAGCAGTCTGAAGGAGCAATTTCAGGTCAGGTGAATCTAATACTTACAAAACTGGGTCTTTACTTTGTAATCTTTTTAAATATCAGATTCTAAGTAATTACATTGCATCCTACAAAAAATATAGATTGAGATTTTAAAAATGTGTGGATGCTTAAAGAGTTGATCGTGTAGAAATAGTGATCACTAGAGTCTAGGAAGGGTAACAGAAGGGGGAGAGTGGGATTGGGTGGCAGGTGCAGTTGGGCAGGAGGACTGAGGAGTAATCGCAGCAGTTTATCATGCATTTCAAAATAACTGAAAGGGTTTGAAGCTTCTCAGTATATAGAAAGGAGAAATGTTGGAGGAGATGGAAATGCTAAATGCTGATGGCACAAATTCTAGGTATGAGATAACCAGACATTGGCATGCAATTTGATAAAGGAAATACAGTGACTGTTGGTCACATCATGGACACAGATATGTATGCGTACATTTGTTGTTATATTTATTCATCCTTGAGAGTGAGATCGGTAGAGCTCAGCTGTCTTCCTGGAAGAGCCTGAGCCTTTTCCATCATCTCAAGGACTTCTCTTTCCAACAAGAGGATTAGAAGAGTTAAGAATCCTGAATTTTTCTGTACAAGGTAACTCCCCACCCCATCACGTACCCTCATGCACTTGGGTCATTAATCTTCCCAATGCAAGGACTGGAATTTCTGTGGCCATGCCATCAGGACCTCTTACCAACCTTCCAACCTTTTTAGGATCTCAGCTTGCTTGCACCAAGCCCCTGACACTTGCAGCTAGCTCAGCCTGCGCTGGCTCTAGAGATAACCTGTGTCCGGCAGCTCTGTGCCTGTGTTTCCTTCTGTGTCATGCTTGTCACAGTAAGTTCTGTTAGCTCCACACATCTGCAGATTACCTGTGTTTTGAGCCTACATACTCCCGACTACTTTCACAAACACATCAGCCTGAATGACTAGAGTAGCCTTTTACCCTTCTGTTTCTATTCCTGCCAGTCTGCAGGCTAATTTGCTTATCATGAGAGTGTAGTGGTACAGGTTCCTTCCCTTCCACTTCCTATCACACCTCTGATAAAACCCAGAGTACTTGGAGAGATAACAGGAGCCATCTGGTTTACCCACCTCTCTGACTTCATCTCCACATAGCCCTCTTATTTACTTTGATCCAGTTTCCCGTGCCTGTTTTTTTTTTTTTTTTTTTTTTTTTTTTTTTTTTTATTTTTTTTTTTTTTTTTTTTTTTTTTTTTGGCATGGGGATCAAACTTGGGTCCTTGAGCTTGCAAGGCAGGCATTGGAAGCACTGAGCTAAATCCCCGGCCCTTCCCTTGACTTTTGACAACTCCTTGAACGTAGCCAGTTCATTCCTACTTTAGGGTCTCCACACCTGCCCTAGTACTCTTTTCCTACATGGTTCCACATTATTCAGGCCTTTGTTCATGCAAATTAAATAAAATGTTAAATAGACTCTATCGTGGGTATGACTAGGAGTGTTCATTGTAAAATTCTTTAAACTTTTTTGTTTGGAAACCTGTACAATATAATGTAAGGAGGAAGGAGTTACCTTCTCAGAGACATTTTCTCTGGCCAGTCTAAGTACAACCCTCTTCTGGCCATCACTGTCTTGGTCTTCCGCTTTATATTTTCTTGTGATGAAATTATTTATTTTAGCATATGTGCTACCGAAGCAAGCACTGAAATTATGAGTGTACCGTGCTTTATTTTCTTCACAGTGGTTTTTACTATGAGGTTATTTATTTCTTTGTTTGGGGGGGTTATTTTATTGTTGCTGTTGTTGTTTCCTTTTTCTTAAACCATTACCAGGGATCAAACTCAGGACCCTGGGCTTGTGAGGCAGGCGAGGCACCACTGAGCTAAATCCCCAGTCCTGTTGTTGTTTTTTGAGACAGGGTTTCACATGTGGTGCCCTTGAACTCACTAGGTAGCCCAGGCTGGCCCTGAACTCACAGCGATCCTGATCGTCCCACCTCAGCCTCCTCAGTGCTGGGTTTATTACGGGTGTGCACCACCATACTTGAACTTGTGGGAGCCTGGCTGAACCAGAGCGACTCCATGTTGACCAGCGAATGACCTGGAGACTGTCACTCCCCCCATCCCTTATGGAATAACTAGTGATTAATTGTGAATTGTTGGGTGGCTGCTTTGAAGTAGCTGGGAGGCTAGATAGAAACTGTAGTGAACACAGAGACCCAAGGCAGGTCATGCCACTCCTTGCATGCCTGTAGTCTGAATGTTCTGAACTTTATGATGATCTAGGTTGTAAATGGAACAATGGATAATCACTCTGCTGATCATTAGTACATGATGACCACTAGCTCAGATCAACTGACTCTTTGCCTTTGTCCTCTTCCTGTAAGTTTTAAGTGTAAACCCCCCTTCAGCCCTATATAAAATGGCCTCTGTTTCTGAGCTGGCCGCCTCTCTGAGCTACTTGGCTTGGGGAGTGCCGTCTGGCCAGACTAATAAAGGTCTATTTGCCAACTTGCCTGGTGTGTTCCTTCCTGGGTGACTCTCGCTGTGTGACTAGCTCCTGGAGCCTCGCTGAGCTTCTGAGCCCAGCATCGTGGAAGCCTCTTGGCTGTTCACTCTCCAGGAGTAAAAGTGAGACTCAAGTCTTACAAAGGTACTGACAGTAGTGAATAGTATTTCCTACCGGAAAGTGGGAGAAGAGGTAAATATGTTAATGTGCAGAAAAGACAGTCATGGTTATGTCTCTTAAAAGACTCTTTCTTTCTTTTAGAAAAGTTACTGAGAAGGCTTGGGTCCATATCTACTTAGTAACTAAAGTCTTTATAAGATTACATATGATGTCTGTCATACAAATAATGACCCTGTTTCATTATTATATGTATTATTTTAGTCATTTCTAAATTTAGTCAATTCTAAATACCAAAGCTGACGAGCCGGGAAGCCTCCCCTGACCCCGGCCCTGACGAGGACTCCGGGTGGAATCTAGGTTCTTTTTGTGTGGCGCCTGTGTGTCTTGTCTGTGTCCTGTCTGTTAAGTGTTAACTTTACATTCATTCCTAGGAACAAGATGGGAGGATCGAGCTCCAAAAATACCCCATTGGACTGTTTTCTCACTAACTTTAAATTGGCTTTTTCCCTGAGTAGGAAGATAAATATGGAATTAAAGGAGCTCTGAGAAGCCACAAGCCCTAATCTCCCTCCTTGAGTCTATGTTTAATACCCATGACCCCACCTGGGATAATTGTCAGCAACTTTTACAGGCTCTGTTCACATCTGAGGAACGAGAAAGAATTAGAAGACACACTATTCGGTCAGTGCTGGGGGGAACTGAGAGGCTTGTTGATGACCAGCAACAGGCCCGAGTTGAAGCACAACTCCCCATCTCCCATCCCAAATGGGAATTGAATTCCACCAGAGGTAGGGAAGCTCTTCGCAACTACCATCAGCATCTCCTGGCCGGCCTTAGGGGAGCCGCTTGCAAGCCTATCAATTTGAGCAAGGTAAGCGAGGTCCTACAAGGGCCTGAGGAATCCCCCTCTGCCTTTCTGGAGCGTTTACTGGAGGCGTACCGCATGTACACTCCAATTGACCCAGATGCTCCAGCGAACAGGCAGGCAATTAATCTGGCTTTTGTAACTCAGTCGGCCCCAGATATTCGGAAAAAATTACAGAGAATTGAGGGCTTTAAAGGAGAGAATAAGGAAAAATTGATAAGTGTAGCAATGAAGGTGTTCACAAACAGGGATCCACCCGAAGATAGAATAACTAAAAAGATGGCAAAGACAAATATAATGATGATGGCAGAAGAGGGTTTTATACAGAAGGGGAGAAAAATGAAATGGGGAAATAAGAAGAATTTAAACTAATCGAAAAAGAAGAAAATTCTCCAGAACAGGAATTGCGGGAGGTAAACAGCCGGGTGGAAATAAACAGTCAGGAGACCATCCACCCAATGGTACCGAACCCCTTCGCACTGCTGAGCCTCATTCCGCCCGCACTTGTATGGTATTCAGTTCTTGATCTCAAAGATGCATTTTTCAGCCTGCCCTTGGCACCAGTGAGCCAGCCGCTCTTTGCATTTGAATGGACGGACCCAGACACTGGAACTACTAGACAATTGACATGGACTCGATTGCCACAAGGCTTTAAGAACTCGCCCACACTGTTTGGGGAAGCTCTCAGCAGAGATCTACAAGAGGTAAGAAAAGCTTTTCCCTATGCAACTGTTCTCCAGTATGTAGACGACCTCTTAGTGGCGACCACGACCGAGAAAAAATGTCTCACAGCCACCAAGGGACTCCTGGAGGCCCTACAAGGTCTGGGATATCGAGTGTCCTGGAAGAAAGCCCAGCTCTGCAAAACCAAGGTAACTTACTTGGGTTATGTTCTTGAAAAAGGGAAAAGAAAGTTAGCTGAATCCAGGGTGTCAGCGATCCTTCAGATCCCCATGCCCAGCTCAAAGAAGCAAGTGCGTGAATTCCTGGGGGCCATAGGATACTGCAGAATCTGGATACCTAGCTTTGCTGAAATTGCCAAAGCCCTGCATGAGGCTACAGTGGGGGTAAATGCACCCCTTGAATGGACAGAGGCTTGCCAGCAAGCATTCCAGACGCTCAAGACTGAGCTCACCACAGCGCCAGCCTTAGCCCTGCCTGACTTAAATAAACCTTTCACCTTATATGTGGCAGAGAGGAACGGGGTGGCAAAAGGAGTGATCACACAGTCTTTGGGGCCTTGGAAGCGACCTATAGCCTATCTGTCCAAAAGACTTGACCCAGTGGCCAGAGGATGGCCGTCCTGTTTAAGGACGATAGCTGCGGCTGCTGCTTTAACTCGGGAAGCTGATAAACTGACTTTTGGCCAGGATCTAACTCTGATCACTCCTCATGCTATTGAGCCCCTGTTGCACAACTCACCAAGTAGATGGCTATCAAATGCTAGATTGTTGCAGTACCAGGGACTCTTGTTAGAACAGCCGCCCATTAAATTTGCCACAACCTCTAACCTGAATCCTGCTAGCCTGCTCCCTGAATCAGATGATCAACTGCCCATCCATGACTGCCTTGAGACTCTCGAAAATCTGCGGGGAGGACGTCCAGATCTGACGGACCTGGCCCTCCCCCGACCTGAGGCAACATACTACACTGATGGATGCAGTTTCGTACGTGAAGGTGTGCGATATGCGGGAGCAGCAATAGTCAATCAGGATCAACAGGTAATATGGGAACAAGGGCTGCCCCAAGGGACGTCAGCACAGAAGGCCGAACTAATCGCTTTAACTAAGGCTCTGGAATTAGGAAAAGGGAAAAAGATAAATATTTTCACTGACAGTCATTATGCTTTTGCTACTGCCCATGTACATGGAGAAATTTACCAGAATAGAGGACTTTTAACATCAGACGGGAAAGAAATTAGAAACAAAGCTGAGATATTGGCTCTGCTGCAAGCCATTTGGCTGCCAAGGGAGGTTGCCATTATTCACTGCCGTGGACATCAAAGGAATTCCAGCCCTGAAGCGATTGGAAACAACGCAGCTGACCAGGCAGCAAAGCAAGCTGCCCAAAAATCAGTGGGGAAACAAATGGTGCTGCTACCTACACCCATGCTCCCAGAAAAGCCTGAATACACAGAGGAAGAAATAACGGAGATGAGTAAGAACCACTGGACCAGAGGAAAACATGGATGATGGACAACAGATGAAGGAAAGATCATTCTGCCAGCTGCGGTGGCTGACACTTTGCTGAATGAGCTCCATGAATCCACCCACCTAGGAGACAAGAGAATGATGGCCCTGCTACGGCCCCACTTTGTCAGCAGAGAATTAGCCCAGAAGGCCCGGGACAAAGTGAGACGGTGCCCCACCTGCCTCAAGGTAAATGTGAATCGGGTAACTGGGCCCCCAGGGGTCCGATATAGGGGACTGACTCCCGGAGAGCACTGGGAACTGGACTTCACCGAAATGAAACTAGGCATGTATGGTTACAAATATCTGTTAGTTTTCATAGACACATTCTCAGGGTGGATAGAGGCATACCCTACTAAAAAGGAAACAGCTGAGGTAACAGTAAAAAGCTCCTGACAGAGATAGTTCCCCAATTTGGCTTGCCCTTAGCCCTGGGGTCCGAAAATGGCCCAGCCTTCACGGCTAAAGTGTCTAAACTGATTAGCCTAAGCATTGGAATTAGATGGAATTTACATTGTGCTTACAGACCTCAAAGTTCAGGACAGCATCTAACAGAACACTAAAAAGAGATTTTAACTAAATCGAGCCTAGAGACTGAATTAAGTTGGGTGGAGCTTCTCCCTTTTGCTCAGTTGCGTATTCGATGTACTCCCAAGCCTCCTCTGAATCTTTCACCCTTCCAAATTATCTATGGGCGTACTCCCCGCTTGGTTCCCCATATAGATATGGAATTAAAGGAGAAATTCTCTCATCTGAGGTTGCTTAAGTCTCTGAGAGCTTTACATGAAATGCAGTCTCAACTACAAGACCAGATTAAAAGATCTCTGACCCTTCCTCATGCCCTATAAGCCGGGAGAACTGATTTATATTCGCAGGTTTGACTCCAAAACCTTGGAACCACGGTGGAAGGGGCCTTTTCCAGTTGTCCTGTCTACTCCTCTGGCTGTGAAGGTTGCGGGACACCCGACGTGGATCCATCGCAACCACCTTAAGCCCGGCCTGGACAACAGCCCAGAGGCATACGGAAAATGGAGCGTCATCAGCAAACCCGGAGAATTGAAAGTAAAACTCCGCTCAACTGGACCTTCATTATGATCTGGGTGATTTCCCTTGGGACAATAATAGCGTTGTCCAGAGAGAACTTAGGTCATACTAAAAACGTTTGGGTGCAATTAGCTGAATCCTTAAATTTGTCTGAAATATGTTTAAATGCTGATGTGAATTTTCATTATGTGCTTGGAAGTTGTTTGGTTCCAGTATGCACCCCACTTGAAAGTATTAGACCATATACTATGTTTAAAAATTTCCCACAAGTAAATCTCAGTTATTTGGATAGTTACAATTGGGGACAGGTGACATGTTACAAACCAAAGAATGCTATTAAGCTATATACCCCTCGAGTAGCTATGTCCAATAAGACTCTCTGTGCCAAATATAAAGGTTGTACTTCCCAGTGTTTAAATCTTAAACAAACAGATGTAATGAAGTGTTCTAGAGAACAAAAGATTCCTTAAGCAAATGCCATATTACTTTGCCACTGGGATGGTTTTATACTTGTGAGGGAATAACTTATAATTACATCCCAGCAAACTTGACTGAGGCCTGCTGTTATCTTAGTAAATTAGCAGTCATCTTACCTGACAGGGGAGACCTCTCACTACCCAACAGAACAAAACACTGGTCTCCCTATACTTCACCAGGCTGTGATGATGATATGGGACTTTTAACAGATGCTAAAGTTATTCCTATGATTATTTCTGTGATAGGTATACCCTCAATTGGAGTACATGCTGAAAAGGCAGTTAGAAAACTAGCTTGCAAGGTAGTTAAGGGGTTAAATACCACCTCTGCCGCGCTGGCCCTAATTAATCAAGAACTCCAGGAACAAAGACAGGCAATCTTAGATCATGGGCCAGCTATAAAACAAGACATAGAAAAGCTCAAAAATTTAGCTACAAAGATTCATAATGAACAGATAGGATGGGATTTGTTTAAATGGTTAGCAAGTTGGTTACCTGACATTACCTGGGTAAAACAACTGATACTCTGTGTGATGGCATTAGGATTATGTATAGCAATAACTTGTTGTCTCTTACAATGTGTTCCGTTAATAAGACCCAGAGTTAGATACAAGTAAATCAAAGATTTGATTTAGGTCCAAAAATCAGTGGGGAATGTGGGAGCCTGGCTGAACCAGAGCGACTCCATGTTGACCAGCGAATGACCTGGAGACTGTCGCTCCCCCCATCCCTTATGGAATAATTAGTGATTAATTGTGAATTGTTGGGTGGCTGCTTTGAAGTAGCTGGGAGGCTAGATAGAAACTGTAGTGAACACAGAGACCCAAGGCAGGTCATGCCACTCCTTGCATGCCTGTAGTCTGAATGTTCTGAACTTTATGATGATCTAGGTTGTAAATGGAACAATGGATAATCACTCTGCTGATCATTAGTACATGATGACCACTAGCTCAGATCAACTGACTCTTTGCCTTTGTCCTCTTCCTGTAAGTTTTAAGTGTAAACCCCCCTTCAGCCCTATATAAAATGGCCTCTGTTTCTGAGCTGGCCGCCTCTCTGAGCTACTTGGCTTGGGGAGTGCCGTCTGGCCAGACTAATAAAGGTCTATAGAGCTCCTGGCCTCGCTGAGCTTCTGAGCCCAGCATCGTGGAAGCCTCTTGGCTGTTCACTCTCCAGGAGTAAAAGTGAGACTCAAGTCTTACAAACTAATTATCTCTTCACTGTCCATCTCCTTTACCAGAATACCGTCTCTGGGCAGGCAAACCTCATCTCTTTTATTTCCTCATGTATCTTTAAATTTTGAAAGTCTTCCAATGTGTCTAAGTAACTTTACTGAAGTTCCACTTGAAATCTACTATGCTTTTGTTCCTGTGATCCTTGGCTCACACCCAGACTGTAAACCCTGCCAGGGACTCATCCTCTCTGCGCTCTTTTCCCTGTATTTCCTTCTTTTCCTCTCTTCACACATTCTCTTATTACTCATTTTTCTGCTCCCACCAAACCCTTCTCCAGTCTGCTTTTGAATCTCCCTTCCCAGCTCTCCAGCAGCCATTTATAGATGTTGCTCTTTACCTCCCTGCTCAGACAAAAACCACGGCTGGGCCTGGTGGAACATGCCTATACATCCAGCACTCAGGAGGCTGAGGCAGGAGGATCACCAAGAGGAGGCCAGCCTGAGCAGCATAATGAGTTCAAGGTCAGCCTGGACTACATAGTGAGACCCTATCTCAAAAGACAAATGAAAAAACACAGAAACTTGTGATTCCTCCCCAAAAACACACTGCTTCCATGGGGCTGTTAGTTCTCCAAATCAGATGCTACACACCCACTAGCCTCCAGCACCACTCCCAGACCACTGCCCACTCCTCCGCCCTCTTGTGAAAATCCCTCTCCATTTGATCCCCTCCTTATCTGATGCTGTTATTACAAACTCCCTGCCCTTAGGGCCCATTCCACTCCTCAGCCCCTAAACCCCGCCTGCCTACCTTGGACACAGCCACCTTTCCTCTTGTTGAAGGTCCCTGACTTCCCTGCTAGTGACTTTTTACTCCATTACCTTCAGGTATCCTGACCAGTGATCTCCAGACCTAACAGTCATTGAGAACTCGTCATTCTCTATAATTTTAAATGCAGATATTCCATTCTTTTATTTCTTGAGCTTTCTGACTCTCATTTTCTTCACCCATTACAGTGGATCCTTGAGTTACAGCTGGCTTGACATAGGAACCGCTTGGGTTATGACCGGAATTTTAGTTTTAACTTTTGAACAAAATCTTGAGTTACTACCCAAATACTGGCTGCGTGTGCTTCCAGGTGGTCTCAGATCAGATTTAACCCTTACAGAGTCCTGGAAGGAACATTCCAGCATCCCTTGCTGTGAGGGGTTAACTGAGAGATCCTGGGCCAGGGTCTCTCCAAGGACCCTGAGGTCTGCCTGTGTGTAGGAGAGAGACTGTGGAGGCTGTGGAGAGGAGCTGAGCCTTCACTGACCAACCTGGGTTACAACCAGCCCTCATGAACAAATTGAGTTTTTAATTCAAGGGTCCACTGTACTTAGCTTTGTTAACATCTCTAGTTCCTGATTTCTCCTTAGTATCCTAATCTGTTTGCTTCCTGACTTAAAATCCTTCTCTCAACAGCTCAGCTTCCCCTTTGTTTATTATAACCTTAATATTTTATCCCCTTGCCTGCCCTGCAGCTCTGCAGCCCTGCACTTATCTACCCATTCAAAGTCATGTCCCAGCTCTGACTACAGAGTTGTGCAGATAGATAATACTACAAATTCCTTATTTTCACTCTCTACACTAGATCATTAACACTGCCTACAAATCCTGTATTTCCCAAATCAGATCCTCTACAACTTCACATCTTCAACTCCTTCCTCAAACTTTTTATTCCACCACTTGGAGTTTCCCTCACTTGGAGTGAGAAGGCTTCATCTCCTGCTTCATAGAGCAAACAAGGTGCATCCTGTGGAATCCCAGGCCACGGAGCTACATCCCCAGCACCAGTATGTTTTGATCATGGAGATGTGTACATAAGCACATAGGTTTGTCACAACTCCTCAAATTGTATTTTATACTATGCTAATGATGCCTCAATAAAGCTGACTTTCTTTTCGTGTCAGTTTCCTGGAAAAATTATTAACAAACAGGGATAAATTTGTGGTGATAATGAAATTACAACAAATAATGACGAGTCAGTCTATTTGCACTCTATAAAACTTAAATTTTTATTTCTATAAAAATTTATATTTAGAAACAATTTAATGTTCTAGAAATGCCATTTCTGGTTTTTTTTTTTTTTTTTTTCCTCTCTTGCTCGGTCGTTTGGTATCTGCAGGAATACAAAAACTTAGCAACCTTTTTAGACACATTTATTGAAATTACTGATTTTCTTCAGAGGCTCTGAAGATCTCTAGACCCTGGCCCAGGACTTCTCAGTTAACCCCGCACAGGAAAGGATGCTGTCATGTTTCTTCCAGAACTGACCCTGAGTTACACCCCCTGTAAGGTTAAATCTGTATACGAGACCATCTGGAAACACAAGTAGCCAGCATTCGCGTTGTACCTCAAGACTTTGGTCCTAAGATAAAACTAAAATTTCGGCTGTAACTCAAGTTGTTCCTATGTCAGGCCAGTCATAACTCGAAGGTCCACTGTATCATTATGGAGTCATATCAAGATCATAGCAAGAGAAGAAATTCAGTCATACAAACCAGCTTCCTTTCGGCTAAATGCTACCCTTCCCCCACATCAGATTCTAAAGAACCAGTCAGGGCCCCAGAAGAGTCCCATCGATTACCAGCCCTGGGAACCAGTAGTTCCAGCCCACTGACACCTGGAGAGAGAGCAAACTGCATTTCCTTCCAGATCATGCACTGGATGGGACCTCTGAACAGGCCTGGGGTCAGCTTCCTGGAGATCAGTGCTCTGGGCACCGACTCCCGTGTTCCTTTTTCCAAGCTGCGGGAGACAGAAGTCATTTCTTCTTAGACACTTTCCAGGGACTGATGGAAGGGCATCAGGAGTACCATAGGAAAACACTCACCTATACAAGAGTTGTGTGATATCCTAGGAGAGGAAAGGAGAAAGAAGTCAGGTAAATGCCCATCAACTCCAGAAATTTCTATTGATTCTGATCACCACCAGACTTTGAGCATCAGTACTTACATCCTGTGCACCCCTGTAGATGGTCCCCAGCTTACTTCCAGCATCTTCCACCTGCCCTATGCTTTTGCTGATCTGCATCTCGCGTCTAACCTGAGATAAATTGCCCTGTCCTTGCTTTGATTTCCTAGAATTCCCTTTTTATCGGAAAGAAGAGAGAAGCCAGTATGACAATAATTAGGGATAAACTGTTGTTTTTCTGTTTTTGAACCAGGGCCTATTGCACATGTGAGGCAAGTACTCTACTTCTGAGCCACATCCCCAGCCCTTCTTACTTTATTTTGAGACAGGATCTTGCCAGGTTGTACAGGGTGGCCTCGAACTTGTGATCCTCCTACCTCAGCCCCTCCCCCGAAGAAGCTGGGATTACAGGTAGCACTGTACCCGCTAAAGTTACACTCTCTTTTACCCATACTTCCTAATAGTCTCGGAAGAAAAGCACGCTAGACATTCCAGTCCCAAGGGCACCTTTCCTCCTCCGGTTAATGAAGCTTCTAAGGTGACTGCCACTGTCTAGGGCCAAGTCTGGCTTCTGTCTTTTCAGAAAAGTCAGTGCATGATGCATGAGAGCCAAAGATTCAACACAGGCTGCCACACTCTTATTTTTTCAGTAGAAAACTTTCAGTTCTTTACAGAAAAAAAATGAAAGTATTACTACACACTGTGGAATTATTCATGGGATTTAATTATCCCGTTTTCTAGAAGGATAAAAGGAAAGCTTTCTGCAGAGCATAAGGCAAAAGCAGCCTCCTGTTTTTTTCCTGGAGAATTTCAAAAAGCACCCCAGCAGTTGTGTGTTTTGTTTTGCCCCGGTGGTGTAAAGCCACCTGCTACGTACTTCCCAGCCCGTCCCCCGTCCGCAGGCCCCAGCAAACTGGTGTTTCACCTTGAGGAATTCGAAGGCATTCTGCTGTTCCATCCTAGTTTTGATGCTCGCCAGCATATCTGTGGCACTGAGAACCTGCTCCTGAAGCTGGTTCAGGCTCAGCTCCATCTCCTCGCTCAAGGCTCTCCCTTCCTCCCGGAGGGCATTTACAGTGTCCTTCTCTTTATTGTGCAGGAACTGGTGCAGCTTTCGAAACTCCAAGGACACGTGCTCCTGCAGATGCACCTTGTCTTCCTGGAAACCCCAAGATCACCACAGTATTACTGAGACTAGTAGATGGCATTGGGTCCCCCACCACTAACGCTGACACACTGGGGAAATACCGGGCAGGAAGAGCATGTAAGTCAACATTCAAGCCTGCTACCAAGGAGCCCTTTGGGAGACTTGCTCCTACTTTCCCAATTAGTTTAATAGTTTAGGATGAAACTGGCAAAAGTGGCCTCTAGGTTCTTGTTGCATAGCATTGTGGAGTTGAATAATACCCTCCTAGACCATCACACCACTGTCCACTGAGCAGTACTCTTACACTGGGACCACGAGTCCCTGGAAGAGCCGTCCTTAGAATGCAGAACTGGGGATGCTGCCTCTGCTGCCAGGAGCATCTAACAGAGACAGGGTACGAGCAAGGTCTCAAGTGCTGAAACTGGTAACTGTTATCCTTTAAGTTCTGGGGTGACCTCAACCTCCTCACAGGTGAACCCAGCTTCTCAGATCCTCGTCCTCCTCACTTCTGATGACTCATGGCTGTATCTCTTCCTTCCCTCAGTCACACCTAGGATTTTCATCAGCCCCAGCACCTGCGCCATCTCCAGAATAACATTTTATGCTCGAGCTCCCTCCCTCGGAGCTCCTGTTGTCACAAGTATTGGATCTCATTGAAACTGATTCTCTTCTGAGCTGCTGTCCTCACCTCTCGTCTCCTCTTACCCATCTTGGATTCCAAGATTATTGACTGCAGCCTTAACTCCTCATATCTAGCTCACAATTTTCCTTTCCCTTTCACCTCTCTTACCACCGTCTCTCAGTCTTATTGATTGGTTCCACTTCCTCAAACAAGCTCTAACGATTAGAATTAGCTGATATTCTGTCCCGCCTATTCTCATTCTACACTTTCTAAGCAGCACCCTCTCCTCTCACAGCTTTAAATGTCATTGAATGATGATGCCCTATCAAGCCTTGACCATATTCGGAGCCCCAGGTCCCTATGTCGAACCACCTGTCTGATATGCCTCTCACATCCGGTCAGTTTCCACATCCGGGTAGTTTTTATTTCCAAACTACACGCTCAAGGAGTTTATTTCTCTGCACCACCACTGCCTCTCTCTTCGTCCAAGCCACTGCCATTGTTCTCTGGGACCCCTGCAGTAGCCTTCTAACTGTGGTCTTTGTCATTGCCTCTCTCCGATCCGTTTTCCACACGGCCACCAGAGATAATTGCAAAATGAAATAATGTCCTATGTAACACCCTTGAATGGTTTATCATTATTCAGAGGATGAAGTTTTTAAATGCTTAACATTTCTACACCAAGGCCTACATGACCGAGACCATATCTGCTTATTCAATATTATCTTGCTTAGCACACGTCAACTTACTGCCCTGTTTTTGATTTAGCAAGCCATTAACTTCCTGTCTCAGGTTTTTGTATATGCACTTTCCTCTTCCTAGAATATTCTTCTAGGGCCTGTTTTCATATTCTTCTCACCTAGCTCACTTGCTTGTTACTTATCCTTTTTCTTTTGATTTTGTTTGTTTGTTTGTTTGTTTTTTGAGGCAAGGTCTCCCTTTGTAGCCCATGCAGCCTCAACTCATGGCAATCCTCCTGCTTCAGCCTCCCAAGTGCTGGGATTACAGGCATGTGCTACCAAGCCCGGCTCTGTTACTTATCCTTTGATTCTCAATTTTTAATATGTGACTTCTTTGGAGCATACAGTCTACATTTTCCGTATTTATTTATTCATTTATTTATTTTTGGTACTGGAGATTGAACTCAAGATTCTCAAGCTTGCCAGGCAGTCACTGTACTGCTGAGCTACATCCCTGGTTCCATTTACATATTCTTAGCATGCCCTGTTTCATGCATAGTACTAATCACCATTATTGTTTTATTATTGTTCATTAAATGATTTAATTAATATTTCCTACTCCCAGAATCTGGTATAATACCTGACCCACTCAATAAATATTTGTTTCAATTAGCAATAATTGTGCCTCAGATAAACCTCATTGGCTACAATACTGCCACTGGGCAAAGCTCAATAAATATTTGTTGAGGGCCGGGGATTGCTTCACAAGTGCAAGATCCTGAGTTTGATCCCTGGTACCAAATAAATAAATAAATAAATAAATATTTGTTGAATGAATCCATGTTGACTCTAATAATTGAACTAGGGGCCGGGGTTTTAGCTCAGTGGTGCCACCACCTGCCTTGCAAGTGCAAGGTCCAGAGTTCGATCCCTGGTACCAAAAATAAAAAGATAGTTGAACTAGGAGCTCTTACAACAGGAAGAAAATTCTATAAAGCCATCATTCTCTCCATGTGTCCTTTCTCTGAGCCTACATATTTCTTCTTCCAGATACCGAATGCCAGAGAAGGCTCTCTGACATACAATAACTAATGAAGAAACGGGACTCCCAATTTAGCTCCCCATCTTAGGGACTGATCTGCCAAATCTCTAACCATTAATGTTCTAAATCTCCTGTGAAGTTGGAAGTATAAGCAATAGCTTTTATTTCGTTTAGAAAATGATAAAAAAAAAAAAGATCAAATCAGCTGGGGATGTGGTTCAGAGGCACAGCACTTGCCTAGCAAGCTTAAGGCCCTGAGTTCAATTCCTGGTACCAAAAAAAAAAAAGACCAAATCAAATTGGAAAGGCATGCCACTGCAGGGGTGTAGGTCCAGGATTGCTAGTTATAAACTCTGAGAAAGGAAAGGAATTTCTTGGGCTGAGGATTTACCTCAGTGGTTCCAGCGCCTTCCTTGCAAGCTCAAGGACCCAAGTTTGATCCCTGGTACCCCCAAAATAAAAAGAATTTCTTTGGAAATAGCAATCTTTAGTGGATTTTTCTGGCAAATTGCTTATTTTTCCATAAAAAGACTAGACATATGTCAGTCCCACGATAATCACTTTGTGACTGAATTACCAAAAGGAACAGATATTAAGGGGAAAATTAATCTGCTTTGTTGTCAACTATTGGCAGCCTGTTATGGCTTAAATCTAAAATGTGCCCTAAAGGCTTTTAGGTTTGAATTACGAAGGCATTAACCTCACCTATGGATTAATTCATTGATGAGTTCATAGCTGAATAAGCTATTAAAAGGAAGGGCTTAGTTGAAGGGAATATGTCACAGATGCATAACGTTGGGGCTGTATCTTGTTTCTGGTCCTTTCTTTTCTGGCTCCTTTGCTCTTACCCTCTTTCTCTGCTTCCTGGCTGCCATGAGGTTAGCAGCTTTCCTCAGCCACACCCTTCTGCCATAATGTTTCTGTCTCACCAGAGACCTAAAGCAATGGAGCCAAACAACCACGGAATGAAACCATGAGCTAAACAAACGTTTAGTCCTTTATTTCAGGTATTTTGCCACAGCACTGAAAAGCTGACCTATACAGAAAATTGCTACTGGGGTATATATCTGTGCAGATAGTTTTAGTGCACAGGATTTAGAAATTTTTGGAAAAGGGTGATAGAGAAGCTCTAGAATGCTGTAAGCAAAACTTGACGGGAATTCTGGGATGGGCTTAGAAGTCCAGAATGCTGATGAGAATGCAAGCAATAAACAGTAAAGAATATGCTCATGAGACCTCAGATGGGAGCACGGAGTCTACTGGGAATTGGACTATTCATGTTGCACTGTACCAGAGAATTTGCTTACATCTTGTCCATGCCCTAAAGTTTTGGGTAAAGCTCAATTTAAAGGTAATAGACTAGTTTATTTGGAGACGGAAATCTCAAGATAGTGTAACATTTAGGTTGTGATGTGGATATTGCTGGCTGCTTTCAACCAGATTTACAATGGGATTCAAGAATAAATAGCAAAAAAGAAAGATTTGAAAATTTTGCAGTTTGGCCAGAAAAGAAGCATGTATAAAGGTAGGACCAAAGAACATATTGTTCCGGAAGAGATTAGTACCATTAAAAAAAATCAGGTGGCTTGGCATGGTGGTTCATGCCTATAATCCCAGCATCTGGGTGGCTGAGGCAGGATGGTCACAAGTTCAAGCCAGCCTAGCCTACACAGCACGAGCCTGCCTCAGACAATCGAAATTAAAAAACCAAGTGATTTGCACAGGGACAAGATGTCTTGAGGGCATCTCAGGAATCAGCAAGACCCCACCCATTTCAGGATCAAGGATGTAAATGTGTAACCCCTTGTATTGTGCCAACTTGTGCCTCAGTGGCTAGACACGAAGCTACGGAATCTAATATTTGGCCTGCTGAGTTTCAGTCTTGCTTTAGTCCATTTCTTTTCTGTTACCCTCTTCCTCCCTTTTGGAAAGGGAATGTTGTTAACTCTGTGCCATGTATCTTGGGAGTATATAACTTGCTTTTTGAATTTTTATAGGGGCTGACAGTTGAGAATTGCCTTGAGTCTCATAGGAGACTTTGGACTTGGACTTTGGGTAACACCGGAACTTCTAAGACGTTGGCAAATCTTAGAGATGGACTAAATGCATTTTGCTCGATGAAATGGCTGGAAGCCTTTGAGTTCAGTGATGTTGTTATGGTTTGGATCTAAAAAGTCCCCTAGAGGCCAGCTGATCCTTTAGGAAGTGACTGGATCATGAGGACATCAACCTCATCAATGAATTAATTAATTGACAAGTTCATAGTTGAATGGGGTGTTAAGAGGTGGGGCCTAGTTGAAGGAAGTAGGTTATAGGGCATGACTTTGGGGACTATATTTTGTTCTCAATCCCTTCCTATCTGGCTCTTTTGCTTTTTCTCTCTGTCTGCTTTCTGACTGCCATGAGGTAACAGCTTTCCTCTGCTATACCCTTCCATGATGTTTCTGTCTTGCCATAGGCCAGAAGGGAGCTGGTCAATCATGAACTGACACTTCTGAAACCGTGAATTTAAATAATCCCTTTAAGGGCTCGGTGGTTCTGCTGCCTGCCTCACAAGCACAAGAACCTGAGTTCGATCCCCAGTACAAAAAAAAAAAATCCCTTTGTATTTTAAATTGTTTATCTCAGATATTTTGTCATAGCAGTGAAAACTAACAGAACCTATTCCATGAACATATTTCCTTCTGGTTTATTTTGTCAGTTCTCTAATTCTATAGCCCATGCCATTTGGCGTATTGATAATATATGTATAGGTACCTTTTCCCTCTTGTAGTTAAAGTTAAAAGGAAGGTTTAATCCAGTTTTGTCTAATAGCCCATCTTCTCTGCTCCTCACCTTGCAAGAAACAGTAGCATCCTTCTGCTTGTTCCTGAGGGACTGAAGTTTCTTCAGGGTTGTCTCCAGTTGATCCTGGTAGATGGCAAGCTCCCCCTAGGAACATCAAATAGAATTAACCCATCCCAGGGTGGGAGATGAGGATATTCCCAGAGCCCGCTATGCCAGAAGAAGGAGGCTTTTACTGCAGAAATTTTCCCCTTCCCCTGTATCTTAGTTCCTGTCTCTCTGAAGAATTGTGAATAGGGCTAAGGATCTGTCTCAGTGCTTGCATAGTATGGGCTCTGGGTTTGATCCCCAGTACCATGAAAAATTGTGAACAAAATTATAAACAGTGGAAAAACTTAGTTTTGCCCTCTGATTAGCTAACTGTACCAGTTTGAAGAAGTCGGTGGAACCCTGTACATTGTGTCACTCTAGCTACACTTTTCTCACCATACATCCTTTTACTTATGTTGTTCTCACTTGGAGCACTTGTTTCTTCCCTCTGCCTATTTGAATATAAATGACTTCCCTGTTCTCTCCCCTGCCTTCACTGTATACTCCCTGCTTTAGCTTTCTCTAATCCTCTCAGAAATTCTAAACAGCTACAAATTACAAGTGTGACAAAAATATAACTGTCAATACTAGATTATCACATTGTTTCTATTATTCTAGTAATTTTACACTTGACCACATTTTGAAACTTACAACAAGAGCAGTATCTTACACATCACGTCCATCTTCTATACAGTATGAGATTGAGGAAGTCCGCTAAAGCCCCTCCACTGCACCTTTCCTATAACCAGCCACTCTGGAGAAAGAGCTTTGCAAAATATTTTGTATTTTCTGAGCACTCTGAGGTTTCTCATTATTACAGTGGACCCTTGACTTACGATCCCACTTCATTCACAAGCGCTAGTTGTAATTCAGGTTGGTCAGTGAAGGCTCAGCTCCTCTCCACAGCCTTCACAGCCTCTCTCCTGTACACAGGCAGACCTCAGGGTCCTTAGAGAGACCCTGGCCCAGGACTTCTCAGTGAACCCCACCTAGGAAAGGACGCTGGAATGTTCCATCCATGACTCTGTAAGGGTTAAATCTGCGTCTGACACCATCTGGAAGCACAAGCGGCTGGCATTCAGGTTGTAATTCAAGACTTTGGTCCTAAGTTAAAACTAAAATTCCAGCGGTAAGCCAAGTGGTTCCTATGTCAGGCCAGTTGTAACTCAAGGGTCCACTGTATTTGGTCAAAGGAGTGAGCAGGGAAGAGAGAAGCCCCACAGAAAGCATTTCCTAGCTTTCCTAAGGGCCCGCCCGGGACGCACACACCGTGAAGATTTGGACAGCGTCAGGGATTTGCAGGAACTCCTTGGACGGCCCTGTGCACAGCCGCGCGTCCTTGCACTGAAAGCAGATCAGCTTCCCGTCTGGCTTACTGAACAGCTTCAGGTTCTCTCCATGCTCTGAGCACTGTGGATGGTCCTTGAATAAGGGCAGCTTCTTCACCTTCTCCACCAGCTTCTCCAGCACCAGGTTGAATGTGCAGTTGCTGTACTGACATAGCATCTTGCACTCAGGACAGAATGTTTCCTTTGCTTCCAGCCTCCAAAACTTTTGGATACAGCCTTGGCAGAAATTGTGGCCACAGCTTAGCATCAGTGGGTCACTGAACCAGTCTTTACACAGTGGGCAGTGCAGCTCGGTCCTAATGTCTTGCATTGCCAATGTAGAGGGCATGGGGGAAACTGAGTCATTCACTTCCTGGTTGCCTCGGTTGATGCTGGAGGAGGGCACTGAGGACACCTTGGGAAAAGAACAACTTAAATGAGCATCCCTCTTTCCTGTTGCCCGTTTCAGCTCTTCGGGGTGGTGGGCTCTACTCCCAAAGCAGCTGACAATGCAAGTACAGCTAAAGTTCTGTAATCTCTCCTTTCAAAATAGTCAAAAAGTCGGTGTTTTCTAGCACTAGTTCTCTCTATAATAGAGAACTAAGAAACAGAAAGAGAAAGGAAGTAATCAACCAAAGAAATATATTTTCTACATCTTTCTCTTCACCCATCTTCCCAATTTATCAGTTGAATGCTTTACTTTTGACTTCTGTATTAGTTATTACCTTTACTTTTATTTTCTAGGAATCACATGCAATGGATTGGAAGATTGGATTCCTCAGTTAGTGGCATATTATCAACCATAATCCAGGCCCCTGCCCACATTCTGTTTTTTTGTTGTTGTTTTTTCTCGGTACTCAGGTCCCTGCACTTGCAAGGCAGGCGGTGGAACCACTGAGCTAAGTCCCCAGGCCTCACACTCCTTTTTTTAAAAAAGACACATTACAGAAATATAAATTGAGAAAAAGTGCAAAATCTTAAAATACATAGCTCACTGACTTCATTCAGTGAAACCCATCTGCCTAGCCGTTATAAGAGGGAGAAGTAGAACAGTACTGGCATCCCAGAAGCTCTCATAGGCCTGTTTCTAGTTGACTCTGCTCTCCAAGGCTGACCCCTCTCTAATTCTAACTATCTGTTAATTCTGCCTGGATTTGTGCTTTCTATAAATGCAACCATAGAACGGTACCCTTCTGCTTCTAAATCCTTTTGTTCACCATTGCATTTGGGAGGTTTATTCGTAGAGTGTAGATGCAGTGCAGCCCTTCTCACTGCCACACAGCACTGTGTTGTGGGAGTGTGCTATAATTAATTTACTTTTCCATTCTGTTGTTAACAGGCTTCTGGGAGTTACCAGTGTAGGGCTCTTATAACATGTTGCTAATGACACCTGTGTTCGTGTTCTTTGGTCAGTAATATGTATACATTCCTCTTGGGTGTATTCCTGGCAGTAAGTCATAGATAGGATTGGCATGTATTCAGTTTAAGATATTGCCCAGCTTTTCCAAGTAGTTGTGTCAATTAATACCACTACCACTGTTGTCCCGTGTCCTTTCAACATTAATGGGTATCTTCATTTTAGCTGTGAATGTACAGTACTGTTACACTCAGACTGTCATCTCCATCTGCCTGATAACTATGTATGCTAGAGCCCTTCCTCATGGTTACTGTCCATTTGTACTGCCCCAGTTCACAGCATCTGTTTATTGTTTTCTTATATATTTATAGGAACCCTGGGTATGTTCTAGATATGAATTCATCAAATACATGTATTATAATAAACATCTTTTATTTTGAGTTCTTTTTGCTTTGTTAATATCTGTTTTATTGAAGAAAAGTTCTTAATTCTTTAAACTCTTTTATTCTTAAATGTGACAAATACAGAAAGCAGCATAAAAGAAAGATATCTACTTATTGAGTTACTAACAAACACTGCATCCCCCATTCCCAGCCCCTTTTTATTTTTTAAAATATTGAGACAGGATCTCTCTTATTTGCCCAGTGGGGCTCAAACTAGCAATCCTCCTGCCTCAGCCTCTTAAGTAGCTGAGCTTATGGGTGTGTGCCACCACTCCCAGCATGCAACCCGCTTTTGATGAAAGCATTTAAAGGCAAAAGTATTGGCCTCAGCAGCTTGGGGAAATGAATAACACCAAAATTCCTGGGAAGAAAGGGGATAGAAAAGGACTTGCATAGGAGAATGGGAACTTTGGGGGGGTACCAGGGATGGAACTCAGGACCTTGCTCTTGCAAGGCAGGTAGCAGAACCACTAAGCTAAATCCCCGGCCAAGGAGTGAGTCTTTTAAAAACTCCCACATATACCAAGTAATCAGGAATACCACATGCAGGCCCAGGTCCAGACACATACACAAAAAAGGCTCGGAGCACACACACTTTCACATTCGGACCCACATGAGCAGAAAATAAAGCCTGAAGTAAAGCTGTAAGCAGCCTGGCTAAGTGTTGAATCGTTGTCAACACAGAGACAACTTTCAAAGTCCAGGAAAGTACTGCTTTCCTTATTCCTGGATTGAGACGTTTGAAGAAACTATCTGAACACGAGCTGATCACAGTGCTTGCAGAACACAGGCTACAGTAGCTACACAACAAAGGTAGAACAGACTTTTTTTTTTTTTTTTTGTACCAGAGATCAGACTCAGGACCTTGTGCTTGACATGTTGGCAGCTGCACCACTGAGCTAAATCCCCAGTGGTAACAGATTTTTTAATAGTCCAGCAAAGTCACTAAGCAAACAACAAACCAGAGCAAACAGCAAAAACAAACCTGGGGAAGAGGAGACTCTTATTTCCAGAGTTGCCACAGTATAATACTCAAACTATCTAGCTTTCAGCAAAAAAGCATGCGAAGAAATGACTATAGCTTCATTCACAGGGGAAAAATTAATAGAAATTATTCCCAAAGAAGCCCAGGCATTGGATCTCCTAGACAAAGACTTAACAATCTTAAATATGCTCAAAGAGTAGAAGGTGGCCAGGAGAACAATGTCTCACCACAAGGAGAGTAATAGCAAAAGAAAATATGAAAAATGAAAAATATGGAGCCAAAATACAGTAAAAGGAAATTTTTACTGAGGAATGAAAGGATAAAAGAATGTGCAAACATGAACAGAGTCTGAGAGACTGGGAAGAGAGTACGTAGCGTATCAATTTACACATAGTCAGAGTCCCAGAAAGGCAGAAGAGGAAAAGGTGTTACAAAAATACTTGAAGAAAACAATGGCTGAAAATATGGTGAAAGACATGAATTTATATATCCAAGAAGCTCAACAAACTCCAAGCAGGATAAATGCAGAGCGGATGGACCTGCAGCCTTTCCTCTTTCCCTTCCCCATCCCCACTTCTTCATTTCTTAAAGGCAGTCTTGCTTCGTTGCCCAGCCTGGTCTCACATTCATGGGCTTAAATTATTGTTCCACCTCACTTCCTGCCCTGTCATCTAATCAACTGCAAAATATAATTAACGACAACGACTGCTAACCCAGTCGGCCACCCAAATCTGTTATTCTTCATAGCAGCTGTTTTGTGAGGTTTTGTTGTTTTGTTTTTCGAGACTGTGTCTTGCTGCGTAGTTCAGGCTGGCTTTGAACTCACTGTGTATCCCTGGCTGGCCACAAACTCATCATACTCTTCCTGCTTTAGCCTCCCAAGTGCTGGGAGTACAGACTTGCTCCATCAGGCCCACCTATTTTTTGTTTTTCTTTTTGAAGGACACCAGGATTCAGAGTTCTCTATATAACATTCGAGTATTTCTGTTTCTAG